GACCGGGTAGCTTGTAACCAGGGAGCACAGCGACGATGGATCGTAAGGAACGATCACCGACAAGATCGGCACGGATGAACTAGGTAGGCTTCCTCGAGGACAGCGCGTGAACCGCTGCCGGACACTATAACAGTAATAAGCGTATTTCAAGAATTCGGCCAAAGCGGAACGTCGTGTCTCGCTTCTCCGCGATCGTTCCTGGATCCCTCCCTTCGCCGATCGAGTTGGTACGAGCGAGATCGACGCAGGCGATCGAGCGGATTCGTTTCGCGAAACATCGCGAGCCAGTATCTTCGAAGACAAAAATATAGAATGGAGTTTATGAGAGTCGATCGTCGAGCTACTTGATTAGAGGACAATCTGGGCGGGGATGAGGGTAGCGGGGGGCGATATTGTCATGAAGAGTTCTCTCATCGTTTTTCCTGTTTTGCTTCTTCCTGTGCACGCGCGCGCGCGCGCGCCCGTGCTCGCTCGCGACACTAGCTTGTTTTTAACGTTACCTTAATCGCCTATTTACAAAGAATGCGTGCGCCCCGACGCATCGGGGCCCCGAGTGAGAGAAGTCACAAACGATGCGATGACGAGTACAGACAATTACACGCGCCGGGTTTGATTTCATTCTGCTCGCTCGCTAAAACGCCGTTCAGTTGCTACGCTGCGCTCGAAATCAATGGCGAAACAGAGGGCGGCTCCAAACGTCGACATAGCGTTTGATCTTTGGGAAAAGCGGCTTCTCGCGAATCGTTTCGAACGCGAGACAAGAGACGCGAAACACGAAACGCGGCGGACTTTGTTTCTCTCGGTTCTCGCGCGAAGATGCGTTCTACCGCCCGTTGATCGGCGGCTTCGGGAGGATCGTCGAGGCTGCAATCTCGCCGTCGTCCCCGTATGACCTCGTTAACCACCTTCTCGCCCCTTTACACGACCGAGACAGAATTATTTCACCTTTATCCTTAATTAGTATCGTTAGTGGTATTTTTTCTTGTTACTCTGTTTTTTTCATTTTTGTGCGCTCGATACCCGCGCGAAGCACCTTGCACGATAGAAGCGTAATGCGTTTACGTGAAACGATAATTTACAGATTAACGATTAGCATACTTATCCGTAAGACGAGGGGGTGGTGGGAAACTGCCCCCTCGATAGCCACCGCTACGATCTCGGAAGAAACAGTTGTTCGGAGATCGCGGGCGATGCTTCCCTCTAATACGTAGACTTTTTGCGGATACTTTTATACAAGTTTCACACTTTTATACAATGAATTCGGTAAAAACAATTTAAAATAGAGACCTTTTTCCTCGTGTTTATTCAGTTGAAAATAAAATAGTAATTGCATGGTATTTCGCTAAAATTCGTAATTCGTATCGCGTTTCCCACGAGTGCGTGAAAACCGCGGTCCACCCCCAGGAAGTTCCTTCTCGTGGAGAAAATGACAAAACGCGTGCGCGCGTGGCCGCGAGCGACGCGAGAAATTCGCCGGCGACGCAACGACCGATTTACTCGATAAAAGCGACGATAGACTAGTCGAAAATGAAAATCAACCTTTTCTTCCCTATTTGCCGGTTTCCCTTTTAGTTAACACTCGCCCTTTAGGAAGACACGCTTCGACGAGACAACAAATAGTAGAACGCGAAAACTTTTGCAAGACACCTCCTACACTGAAATCAACAGTAACACTTTCAGCATGAAGAACGATTAACGATTATTTAATGGAGGTTCACGGGCGCGCGCTGCCAATTAAAAGTTTGAGGTTTCTAAAAATCGAATCAACTGCAGGCTAACAACGTATTAGCGCACTAATTATTTTGTAAAAGCTTTGCGAAATCATTCCAATTTTGTCAGTTCGAGAACTTCGATCGTCGTATCATTTGCCGCGAGAGACACGCGGAAAACGATCGTCGCGAATAACGGCTGCTACAATTGAATAGTAGATTCGGCCGAAAAATGAAAGCAGAGCAATATTCCATTTGTAATATTATTTTACTTGCAAGTTTCAGGGAAACTTCGCGGAATAGCGTGAAATTGTTTTAGAACAAACTGTAACAAATTAGTTAGCAAATCTAAGGAACTATTTTGTACCGACAAATGCGAAAGGATTTCGTACAGATTACAAAATGTACAAGAAAATCATGTTCGATGAAATGCGATAACAGACAAATCCGCGGAAAATACGTATTAATCGATTCAACCGGTGGACCAATAATGAAACTAATATCCTAACTTCGTAAAACTTCGCACAGCCTAGATTATCCCCGTACTAATTCCATCTTAAAGGCTAATAAATTCTTGAATTAGGTCCCCAAACTTTTAAATGGTAACGTAAACGCGAGCGCATTACCGCAACGAAACTTTCAACAATTCGAGAGCGTGTAATGAACGGAGAACAACTTCGACATCGTTCGTTCGTGCGATCGCACGCGATGTCGCGGTTCCGAGCATCACGGGAACAGAACGAGAGCAACATTTCAACGTTAAAAAACATTACGGCCTGGGACGGTGTAGCACAACTAGCTAAACTATCCTAATCTCTCTGTAAAAATCGATCAACCGTAAAACGAAGAGTCTCGGCCCGCTTCGAACGCGATCCCGACCGAAGACGAGCTTAAAAAAAAGGAGAACGACACACTCGAGACAGGTGGAAAGGAAAACGGGACATTTAAAACAGTCGTCGTTAATCGATCATTCTAAAACGAACGCGACGCGGGCACAGGGTGTCCCAGTTTCTCTCGAACACCGCGCGATTTCCGTCGAAATTCGTTACCTTCGCTGAAACATGTATACGGCCGAACCGAAGTCGACGGTTCCTGCGAAGAACGACGCACCGAGCGCGTGAAAAAAGTCGTTGAAACGGTTTCGAGATGTGTCATGAAATATGTATCAAATTGGAATTGAAAGTTTCCGCGATAAACGGCGCCCACCGGCCGATCTAAAGAGGGTTCGAAGCATTTCTCGGCAGAATAATATTTTCCAGATTGAAACACGTGTAAAATTAAATTTGTAAGTTCCTCGGAGGAGCAAAGCTTTCTCCCCGGCTGTGCGCCGTAACGCAAAATAAATTGAACTCGATGATCTCGCTAAGATATGATGTATGGAGTGTCCGAGGCAATTGAAAATATTTTGCAAACTGAAGGAGCGAACTTCCTCTGTGTCGGAAGTCATTTATTTACACAGATTTCTTCTCGCCGTTCCGGCACACTCGTTCGTCCACAGGCTCCGCGCAGCGAGTAAAGTCGAAACAATAAGTAACGATAAGTTGATTGTTCTCCGGTGATCCTCGATATTGATCGGGCTATCGCCGCGGCGGATCGCTGAGAAACGGGCCACCCAGTGTGCACTGACTTCGCGTGTCGATAGAAAGAAGAATAGAACGGTTTGGAAGAACGTGCCGCGCGCCTTTTTCCGAATTTTTCCCGGCTTAAACCTAAGTTAGTTGGGTAAAAGTCACGCGCGACCCAGTCACGTAACTCAACGCGAATGGAATTCGATTCGATCGTTTCGAATTGTTCGATTACGCGCTGGTAAAAGAAATTTGTACAGCTTGGAACATAACGGCGGAAAGATTCTTCTCCTTCTCGATGGCCGGCTGGTATTCTACAATCCCGGGGACTATTCGGGAGCCCTGAAAACGAAAACCGAGCGACCACGCGTGGGATGAAACAAGAAAACTCGAAAGCAAATGGAAGACCAAAGGGACAGAGAGGGGAAAGAGAAAGAGAGAAAGAATTTTCGGTCGAAAAGCTCGCTACCCGAGACTTAATTAAGCGCTTTTCCCGGCGCAAAGGTCATTAACGATGAATGAAAGTACATTGAAAATTGTCTGCCCGGAAGAGGCGACTACCGACGGCAATTAAGAAATTCAAGAAAGAAGCGCTGGCCCAAAAAATGGGTGGCGGGAAATAAAGCGAGAGGAAATTAAAGAAAACGGGCGCGCGAGCGGTCGTCGCTTTTTCTTCTTTCGAATTACGCGCTAGTGAGTTATGAAATTGCCGTGGAATGGAAATAATTTACGGTCCGGTTAAAATTAATGCAACACGCGGTTCGAATAAAACGGCGCAACGATTTCGCCGCCGCGGCGGACTTTATCGATGGTCGTGTCGTATCGAACGTGACTGTTGGCTCGAGATAAAATTATATTTTTAAAATCATGGGGTTCTAACTAGCCGGGCAAAACGGGAAAAGAGAAAGAAAAAAGCGGGTCCGAAAGTCCGTGAAACTGTGTCTGGCCGGTTTTCATTCCGATAGGGTTCGCCCGAACTCTTTTATTCGACCGCCGATTCTTTCGGGATCGTTCAACCGCCGGGGTCTACCGGCGATATGAAACTGTCCCGATAACAAAAAGGAGAAGAACCAGTCCCGTCGGTATTTTAAAAACTGTTTTGAGGACACGAGCGTAACAGAAAGTGAAAACTAAAAACAAGAGGAAGGAAAGAAAAAGGACAACACCGGACGACAGTGGAACTAAAATGAAATCGTAATAAATCTCAAGTAAAAAAAAACCGTCTGCTCAGTCCTGTGCGCGCAAAATCTCTGTATATACATAAGTACTCGTATATATATATATATATACATTTATATTTATATATATACATGTATATCTACAGCTATACATGTATATATCTAAATATAAATATTCTTCGTCGAAGTGCACGTTTCTTCGTACGTGCTCGTTCCGCGGACACGTCCGCGCGCTAGAAAGGAGAGTCTCTGCGTGAAAATATATAGCGTATAGCCTAAGTAAACAATACAAAAAAAGGAAATAAGATAGAGAACAGATTTGAATGAGGACGAACGAAAATTGGCAGTCCCTGTGTGTATGCGTATGTATAATATATGTACGTGTGTATGTGTAGTATTTAATATCTATCGATGTATGTATGTATGTTTATATGCACATGTATGCAGGTATGTTTGTATGTATGTATGTATGTACGTATATATAATATCGCGTAATATTATATACATATGTATGTATATATATAATATTACCGCGACGAACAAACGCGTGTAAAGCCCTAGGCGAAGAAATATATTTGACAAGTAGAAATATAAACTTGGTAACGTCTCTCGCAGAGTTAACAATAATAATAACAGATCCTTACGAGATGATTATTAATATATAATATGTACAAGCTACGGTTTTGGTTTCCTCTTTTTCCTCGTTCCCCGTCCCTCCCTACCTACCGTCATCTCTCTACTCGTCGATCGTCTCTGTGTACCAGGACGACCAACGATTTCGTGGATCGCCACGATCGTCGAGAGACACTTGACGGAATCACGCGAGGTCGATCGTCCGGGGTCCCGACGGACCACGTGTCCTTCGAACATGTTAACGAAAGGATGCCGAACGTCCGCGCGTACAAGATCCGTGATTGTCGAACGAAGCAACGGACGCTCCCGTTTATCGATAAGGAAAAAGAGCCACCCTATCGCGCGCGTGGGTGCGTTCATGTGTGTACGTATGTATTTATGTATGTATGTATCTATGCATTTATGCGATTGTGTGTATGTATGTATGCACGCGCGCGTTTCCGTGTATGTCCTTAATGTGTGTGATTCACGCAACAGTCTATAAAATCTGTAAAACAGCGGCGACACGAACAAGGATGAGAACGTCGCTCTTAAACGGATCGTAAAGGAGAAAATAAAGAGGACAAAAAAAAATATACGAGAAGAACAAGAATCTGAATGCGACTAAAACGCTCGTAACAATAACGGATAATCGTCGTTCCCTTTCTTTTCCTAACGTACGCTCTCCCCGTCGCTGGTTCACGCGGCGAGAGGAATGAAACGCGTGTTTAATGCACGACTGACCGAGAAAATGGAGAAGACGGTCGTAACGTCGGTGGCCCGAACACGACCGTCGACGATCGAACGTGTCTAAACACCTACACGCAGCCTGATTGGACAGTCTTCGATCGAAGGGGAATGCGTTCCGAGAGAAAAATAGATTAGAAAACGAACATTTAACACAACTTCCCTTCTTCTTCTTCTTCTTCTTCCGTTTCTTTTTCTTCTTCTTTCCTCTTTCCTGCTTTTCCTATTCTTATTCACGTTAACCGCGAGAAACGGAAACTCTCACACACGCGAACTTTTTATCTAATCGTTCTTTAGAAACCTCTGAAAGCTTTGCGACAGAGTGAAAAAAATATATATATATGTATATGTATATGTTTATGTATATGTATATGTATATGTAAATGTATATGTATATATATAGGTGTGTGTGTATATATACATACATGTACGTTCGACCGAATTGATCAGCTTAACTTCGCGTGGAACAAATTGCTAGACCTACCTAAACGTCGTGTATCTAGTTGGTTTGCTTTGTTTTGTTTATGTGTGTGTGTGTATATATGTGTGTGTATGTGTGTTCTTTTTTTACTGCTTTTCTTTAACTACTTATTTTAAATTACTAGCGGCTTGCCGATGAGACCAGAAGTAAGACTCGTCGATTCGCTGCCGTCAGTCCGACGCTTCACAGCGCGTGTCATGTTGCTACGCATATCGATCATCCGTCATGGTAACGCTGGCTCGTCGATGATCATACCATTACCATGTCCTCGTCGGAGCTCTGCCTCTGGATCGGTTTTTTCCTTTCTAGACCGTCTGCGAACAGCCATCAAGCTAAAAGGGTTACTGTTTTGCCTTTTAATGTCTGTCTAAATGCGTGGCTCTCGTTACGCGAATGCCTACTATCCGAACGGAGCTATACTAGCCCCTCGGGCACGCACTTTCGCGACCGTGAGTATTAAGACTGCTCGTTAAAAGACAATACGAACCCGACGATATTGGTTTTCGGGCGAATAAACACCGATGTAATGGGAACACAAGCCAGTAAATACGGAAATGAATAGGAGAAAGTTACATTGCGCATCCAACGACAAATATTCAGAATGGAAAATAGAGAAAGAGTTGTAAAGAAGATAGTGGCATTTGGTAGTGAGCATTAATTGGGATAATTACAGTAGTACGCGTTCTAATGAAATACGAGGAAAATTTGAAACAGCAGAATGAAATGAAGAATGTAGGAAAGATATGTAGATTACTTTAGCACACGTTATAATGAAATATAAAGAAAATCGAGAACGAATAGGGTGAAATGAACGTCGCAGAGAAGATAAGAACAGTTATCTTCGAACTGCCGAACGACGCTTCTCTTAGATTTCGTTTAGATTGTATCTCGTCGAAAAGTACCGTTCCTGTATTTCTTACCTAATATAGACAACTGACAACGCGGTTCAATATGTAACTCCGGAAAATTGAATTCCTTTACGTGCATTACACAAGATATTCCATCATAAATCCACGCGAAATGAGTTCCCTTGTAGAGAGCAACTTAAATGGAACCGAAGGATAGAAATATTCTTTAAAGCAGAATCCGTCGACGCTTCGGGTAGTTCGAGATCTGATCGGAATAGTCGAACAAAGGATTCCGCTTTGAATTTCGACACAGAAATCCGATCGGCTGATTCCCTCCATCCCTAGATTGTACAGGATGTTCCACTTTGAGCAATTCGTACGGATATATCTTCAAAATTATTGGACATATCGCAAGGAAATTGGAAAAATCCAATTGGTGCACGTTACGGCGTGTACAGCTTCCTTCCCGCGGTTGAATCGTCATTGAACGATTGGAAGCTATTAATTCTTTTCACGAGAATATCGAGTAAACTCGTTACTCTTTCTTGAAACTTGGAATTGTAACGGAAAAAACAGGATGCTACTTTAAGAGTCAGAAAAGTCACCTTACTTTTTCAAGGTATCTTTTATGACCTTTCAAGCAACACATCCTGTGAATTCAGTTCCAATTCCAAGTTTCGTGAAAGAGTAACAAGTAATTAATAATTATTATTAATAATTGTAATTATGAATTAATAATTAATTATATATATAATTTTGAGCAGTTCTACTCTATGAACTATACAAAATGTTAAAAGTAGTATTGTAGACGCCGATACACGAGTACAGCAAAAACTAAACGTGCAGCCAAAATGATGAAGTCGAAGTAGAACGTTCTAGATATACCCAAATTACCCACTTCCTTTCGGAAACTCAGAAACAACGTAAATGAAGAGCTATGATAACTTTGTGTTAACTTCGATCGAGTTAATACTACAGTACAGAAAGAACAGTATCGTGGAGAAATGATTAATTAGGTTTCTGAATTCTTCCAGTCGAAATGAAAAGAAAGAATATCAGACAGAATTAAAATGAAATAATCCACAACCCTTTTCTAACTGATGAAGCAGTGGGAAGAACATGCATATCGCTGAACTGCGAATTGTTATGCAAATTGTGATTTCCACAAATTATTTTACAGAAATAGGAGTTGTAAATTCTATACTTGCATAAAATTTCGCAATTTTATTATCTCCTGTAGCTGTGATTTAAGAAAAAATACCGCATGAAAAACGCGTTCACTTTCGAGAAATTATCGTTTCAAATTTCCAACATTAATTTCTCCTACTGTGGCAATATTTCTTTCTTTCTTTTTACAGTTTAAATCTATTATAACAATATATCTTCTTCATTTTGCATAATTCATATTCTATAGCCGTATAATTAATCCGAATACGTAATTATAAAGGGATCTGCAAAATAAAAGAGAAGAATCTTTAAAATAGATTCAAGATAAGAAAAATATTTCAACGAACGCGTTTGCGAAAACTTAATATTGCTGTGCTAAGGTTCTGTGAATATATCTGAAGCAAAGACAAAGGGTTGATTAAGTATATCATTTATTGATCCTAATGTTAGGTAATTTTACGGTAATTTATCTACAATAAGAAATGCAGGAATCGCTGAGCCCGATTTAGATTTATTAAAGGCCGAAGATGTCGTCAGCGAAGGAATAAATTCTAAAAGATTCAAGATGGTGCTAGAAGAAAACGGAAAGAAACGATTACTTCTCTTTTTTCTCTGTTTCTTATGCTTTTCACGTACATAAGTACGTAGTAGTGTTATTTCAAATAACATAAAAGCATAGAATATAATTTTGACGATTTAATTATTAATGTGTAATCTCAAAATTTTTTGAAATTATGAAATGCGATCTTTTTCCTTGGCGCAAAACAAATAAATTGCGGTTTTGGTGCATATAAATGTAAATACAATACATTTACTTAAAATAAGTTGATGTAGATAAACTAACTTCCATTACATTGGACAATTCTGAAATAAAAATCAGAACTTTCAGAATTAATAAATTCTAAATTTTCAGAAATGATTCCTTTCTGGATGAAATAATTTAAACTCAGTGCACTGTATGTCAAATGCAAAATGAATATTTCTAAGCTCATAAAAATGTGACGAATTCGCTTCATTCCCATTGTTATACTCATCGTAGAGGCCGAATAACATTTATACTTTCAAATAGTATATTCCACAATAAACAGAAATTAAAAATGTCTGTTGGAGAAACGTTTCAATTATAACAGATCAGAAAACCGCAATTTACTTCTGGACAACCTACCGATTCTTTATCATAGATTGCATTATGTGCAAAGCTGAGTAGAAACGACTGAAAAGGTATTTACCTGGGGACGATGGGCGTAGGTCATCGAGGGAGCCATCATCCAGATCCGTCGCAGAGGGATGTAAGTCGTCGTCCGAAGAGTCTCTGGTTAGGCTGAGAAGATTCGAGGTCAGCAGAGCTTTCTCCTCCTCGATCTCCTGTATATGATCGACGAGAAGCGCCTCTTCTTCGTCACCTCGATCCCTGTCCCGGTCCGCGGTGCCGCCTCTCGCGGCTGCGTTCGAGACCGCCGCGTTCAACTCTTCTGGACTGAAGATCTTGGAGGATCGTAGACTGGACAGACGGTGGGTGGCCGTGTGGCAGGCGGATTCGAGAGTGTTTATGTCGGCCAGCGTGGTTCTGACGACCCTAAGCTTCTCTTGTACGATTGTCTCAACGCAACAGGTCTGCCTGCCGACATCCTGTAGCGAGTCCTGTGCAGGCAAGGTCCTGTTGGTCCTTAGGATGCACGGGGCGAACACTATCGCGAGGGCCGACGAGGACATCCGATTGTCGACCTCATGGAGCGCCACCCTCGCCAGATGAACGATCAGTCTCTCCATCAGATCGAAGTTCGGCTTCGGCAGCTTCTTCAGAATCGCGAACAGCGTACTGATCCGATCTTGCTGTTTCGTCAGGTTAGCGGCATGCAGAAAATCATCGTAGTACTCGAAGGTTAACAGGGGCTCCGGCATGTCCCGAAAGAAGCTCTTCAACACCGCTGCGAGCACGTGCACCTGGTAGTTCTCGAAGTCCACCTTCTCCAGATCACCCTCGTCCATCTTCTGCTTCAATTCCTTCACCTTCGAGCTGACACCACTCTTGCGGTATATACCCTCTGTGTAAAGACCGTGCATCTCTATGGTGGTGATCAATCGATCAACCACTAGTGGCACCTTGCCGTCTCCGCAGTCCAATTTGTACAGCTGCACGCCGAACACCTTCCGCGAGTTCATATCGTGCAGCGAGGCTTCCTTTCCACACTCCGCCAACGCTTTCATGTAGCACTTCTTGTGACACGTCAGCTTGCAATCTAAACGTAAAGGGACGCACATGACCATGCATGACAAATGATTGATGGCGAACGAGGCGCCGTGCCGCGACCTCTGCAGCGTATAGCCAGATCCGTATGGTCGTTACCATACAATATTTACTTCTGTACGCAACGCTTTTTTTGCATCTCTAACCCTAATGATACACTGGAGACGATACGGATCTTGAGTCAAAGGAGCTCTTTTCGCAAACTGGGAATTATTTTATGACTACATTGCGCTTGAACCTTCCAAATCTTTTTTGTTATTAACCCTCGCTCGTTAAAGTTTTGTTTTACTGCAATTTGATGCGATTCATACAGTTCGACCATGAGTTCAAACTTAAGAAAAATGTTATCTTTTAACATATAAGCTAAAAATATCTTGCTTCTTTTAAAGATCTCAAATTTTTGAAATGTCACCATTTTGTGCCTTATCTATTCATTTTTATCATGAACGCATAAAATCCACAGCCTACTATGGCAAGCAACGCAATATTTGCTTACAAAAATAAATCTGCGATACGGTAGGAATACTTACTCTGGCATACAAGTCCGCGCTCGATGGGCCACATAAAGAAAGATGTGCAGACTTCGCAGGCCATAGGTATGTTTATGATGGTTAGTTGGAATATATGACTGCCATGCCGCGTCGGTTCCTCTTGCTTTCGCTTCTTCTCCTTCTTCCGTTTGCTTTTACTCTGTTTCTCCGGTGCTTCGGTTTTGACTAGCGTCATAAATTCGTTCATGAATCCGCGGAACGCGTTCACGCCCATAATCACGGGAAAATCTTCGCTGGTGTTCTCCTGCTTGCAGACTGTCTCCATGACGTGCAAGAAGTTCGTAATCAGATCGGTGTACTTGATGTTACCCTCGACGCCTTGCTGAACGGCGACGCTGTAAGTGATCACCAGATCGTCCTTGAATTTGCGCAGCGCCTGCTTGAACACACGGTCAACTTCACTGGGCTTGCTTCCCTCCTCTTGGCCTTCCATTATGTAGATCTTCTTCGTGATGAACTCCTGCATGAACGCCAATTCCTTCGCGTCGGATATAATCTTGTCAGTGCTGTCCGAGAAAGCTGAAGTACCGGTCAAGCTGAATTTGGGCGCCGTGACGGTTTGCTTGGTCGTGTCGTAGGGGGTCCTCTGTTGTTTTCGGTTTTTCCGCCTGCCAGGCGTATTCGTCAAGATACACGGCATCTTAAGTACTCCGCCGTTCTGAATACATTTCACGTGGTACAGTTGTTTACAGTCTATGCACTTGTAGCCCTGCGTGACGAACGCATCCATCTTCTTGTGGCAGCAGACGCACACATCGTCCTTCGCGAACCTCTCCACCTTCCTGAACCGATGACCCGCCAAGGTGAACAAACCATTCCCCTTCCATTCCAGGAGATCCATCCCGGGCGCTAGTTTCAGGTCATTGGATCTCGCGTCAATGCCGGGCTTGTCCTCGCTGAGGCCCGATATTTTCGTAGCTGGATCCGAGTTTCTCCTCCTCAGCTCCAGACTTGTTACAGCATTGGACCTCATGCGTTGACCGGGCTGCTGCGTGTTCGATGCTGACTCGGTTTTGTCCACAGACCAGTCCGTCACGGACCTCGAAGGTACCTCGCGCGGACTGTCCTTGCGCGTCCATACGTTCGCGGACTTGTTCAAGTCGCTCTCTTTAATCGTGCCTAGGAACTTCGCTTCTCCACTGTTCGCATCAGATACGCTCTCGCCCACGGACCAATACAACTCGCGAGGGGGCCGATTCCTTCTCGTGCTTCGGACGGGCACGTCGGGCTCGCATTTTTCTTTTGGTCTTGAAATTTTTTCTTTGGGCGATGTTCCTTTCAATAGAGAACCCTTCAAAGAATTCTCGTCGATAACCGCGTCCAGTTTCATGGCCGTATCTCCTTCGGAATTTTGCCTCCTCAAGTAGCCAAAGTCTTTCATCTTTTTACTCTGACCATGTCCCGTGGCACGGCGTATCTCATTGGACGTGCTCAGTCGTCGCTGATCTTTACTACTCGATGAGCTCTCCATATGAACGAAACGCTCGTTCGGGTCCAATTTCACGTTGTAGTTCGCCGCCTCATTCGGTTTCTCGTGTTGTCCCTGGTCTTGGATGTTGTCCGTTAGGTTCTTGTACTGAGAGACATTCAGGGGACACGGCATAGTTGTTTTCTGGTGGCTAGACTGCAAATAGTCGTTATAGTTCGAGTACTCTATTCTGCGACGCCAAATGTCCGAATTAGGGCTATGCGTCAAGCTAATGTTAGACTGATGGAACTTAATGTCCCGCGAACTCGGAAATGAAGGAGTAGCGTTGAAGACTGGCGGCGCACTTTGCACTGTACTCGGAACTTCTGTGTCAGTCTCACCGTCACTGTACCCTGTTGATGAACTGTCCGCACGTTTTCCGACAGACGACTGTTCATTGGGACAGTACACCAAGCTTGTGTTCACTGTCACCCTGGGAGAATGATCACCGCATTTCGTTCTAGTGCTCGATATATGCTTGCAGCAGTTCTCTTGTGATTCGGAACTGTTCACGCTAACTTGGGATTCGTAGCTCCTCAAACTTGTCAAGCTCTCCAAGCTGCTTTTACGCTCATTAAATTCTTCGGACGAATAAGGTTCGGTGTTCTTCAGCATTCCGCCGGTTTCGTATAACATTCTTGTGTTTCGCGTTACCGCCTTTTGCTTCGAGTATGTCATCTTTGCATCCATGCTGATGTCCCGCGACGCAGCGTCCACTCTGAAAATTATTATTCTGCTGTTACAAATACATTTTCGGATGTTATTCCATTTATTTCAAAAAGGTAAGTACAATATAGTCCCATGAAACATACTAAAGCATTGTCAAATACATAATAAAAGTATCGCTTACCTTGCTGGTATGAAACGATTTTGCAATTCCTGCTTACGAACTGTGCTCATCTCTAACAAAACATGATCCTCCATTAATGACCTAAATGAAACAAAAATATTAATATTATAACATTTGCAGCAGCCTGGACAAAGAACATGTTAATTAATTACTTACTCTTCACTACCCTTGAACTTCGAATTGTACACCTTACTGTTGTCGTAAGCAATTTCCCTTTGTTCAAGAACTTCCTTGTACTCCCCGATTTTATCACCGATCATGTTCTTCCGCTTCTTCAGCTCAGCAAAAGCTTTCCTCGCATTGTTCCCTCTGGCACGAGCTTGAAAGTTAATTATAGAAGTCTTCAACTTTTTGAACCATGTCTGCTGTTTGTATGTTTTCCATGCAGATTGGATGTGGATAGCAGCTTCGATTCTGGCGCGTAGAGATTGAGCAAGCCTTTGAGCAATGATCATTCTCCAAAACGATTGTATTTGTACAACAGCGTTCTTCAATCTAAGGAACTTTCTCCTCTCCAGACAAGCGCGGAACCACTTTTGGATAGTTGTAATGCTTGTGATGATTTGTTGATGAAGCTCTATATCCAATTTGATCTTTTCTGATTCTCTCAGGAAGACTTTAGTCGTTCCGAGCTGATAATTGTCTCTGTTGAGATTCAACGTCAACAGAAAGTCCCTAACGTCGGACTGTGAGCTCAGTAAACCTTTGGGTAGCAACATTCTGTACAGTTGAATAAATTCTTCGTAGGTTAGTCGAACATTGAACCCAGCTTGCCTGATCCTGACTGTCTCTAGCATCCCTGTATATCTTAATTGTCGTTGTACAGTCTCCTCGTCGAATTCATTCGGTACTTTGTTTGCGTTGCTCTTAATACATCTAATAAAGAAGGGATTCGCCTGGTTCAAGGTATCCATAAGACTATGCAAACTTTGTTGGAACTGTGCCGAAACCGTCATGGGCTGTTTCCTTGCTTTTCCTGGTCCAGAACCATAACTCTGTGTCCTACCGGCAAGGGTTTTCACAGTTTGAAGATTCTTTAAACCCTTTTTTCCGCGTTCTCTTGGTCGAAATGATTTGTTTTTCCTGTAAAAGCGTCAAAATTTAATGTGTCAATAACGAGTAATGAGTTTAAAATTCCTTTTCCTATTTTTAAATATTTTTCTTCAGAATGCAAGTTGCAAAAAAAATGTATTTGCATTTTTTTAATTACTTACATGTTCCGCTAGATCTTCTACCATATTAACAATTTATATAATAGAAAAACAGGAAAAGGAGAATGTACAATTATTTCAATGACATTTATGGCATTGCAAATATATTTAACAAACGTAGTATGAAGTGTAAGTAACAAACATTTAACAAAATGTTATTATGACTGGTGGAACTTATAGTAGCAAATTTAAAAGCAATAGTAAGTATGACTGTGTATAATTATTCAGCAGATTTTTTAAAATTTGTGATGCTATAAGAGAAATGAAATCCTCTTTTTAAGTAGATGTAAAATGATTGCAAACTATTAATATGTATAACAAGCGATTTGCATATTCAAGTAACTACCAACGTTAGTATTCAATCTCCTTGTTAATCTACAAATGTATAACTCGTTAGGTTTCTCCTTTAAATTCTAGAATTAATATTGTATATCGTGCAATTAATTAGAGTTAAGAGAACACAAGATTTTAAAACGAGAAGCTCGTTCACCAAAAGATTCTTCGAAGTGAATTAATTTGCTGCATTTAACAGCGTGCAATACAAATTAACCCATTATCATGTATTACATCGTTTCGATGTAATTTAAATTCATAAATCTTGATACACATATTTTTTTCACAGGTTTACTCAATGATTTATAAAAAAAATGAATTTCCAGTTTTTCTTTATCCAAAATTTTTGGAATTTTTAAAAAATACAAATAAAAAGGTATACAAAATATTTTATAGCAGAAAGTGTTATAATTTTATGAAAAATTATGTGAGAAATAAGGATGGGCTAATTTATATTCATTGAATTTGAAGAGTGAAAGAACTACTCTGAACTTAACATGCATTAAGACGTAGTTAACATTGTAACAAACGAATAAAACATGAACGTCTAAGATAGTACAAGTAAGGGATAACGATCGTGAATATTATAGCACATTCAGAGGAAATGACTTTTACGATGTCTCCTGTAAGAAGTGAGAGAGCTTCCTAAAGTAATGGACATATCCATGAAAAAGCTGTGATATTATATTGCATGGGAAGACCATTAATAATCCTATTAAGATGATGATACCTATGAGAAAGAAATCCTTTACCCAGAAATTACTATAGAGCACACACTACCTTCATAATTCGTAGAGAGCAGTGAAATTTTTGGTATAGCTTAAATAACAAAACGTTATTGAGTATTAAGTAGCTGCGGAATTACATACATGACTATTTGATTAGCGCGTTCCATGACGTTTGCTTCGTCTTTTGGAAGCACCCTCTCTAGTGGAGTATGAGTATCTCGTCTGAGTTTATTATTACTATGCGGCTGGTCTTCCCTGCCCCTTATCAAGTAACCCTTCATCACATTGGTCACATTAGACGGGTGTTGCGTTTGATTAATGTTTCGGAATTGTGGCCACGACAATCGGTTGTTGTTAACATTGTCGTTGTTTTCGAGTTGTATAGAAGATAATGTAGTAGTGGGTATTGTTGATGGTATGCAGACACTGCGCTGCTTCTGATAGCTTGGTGGACGATTATGTTTGTGCGAACTGAAAAAGTCTCTCATGCTTAGTTCCATTTACCCTTCCATTCCGATCACGGTTTTTTTTATATGTAGCTACACTCTAATTTGGCATAAGGTGAATAAACATCAGTGAATTCAACAATTAGGTGGTGGTGACTTTTCCAAAAATTGATTTTGTGAATGACTCTAATGGAATAATGCGATTTTTAGTGATTGAATATGAGTTGGACAAATAAAAAAGTTACTTTGAACTGTTGATCATGCTCAAGAATAACAGCAAATATATTGTTAAATGACAGAATGTAATTGAATAGCGAAAGTCATGAAAGGATTGCACTCTAATCACACTTAATACAAAAGGTGCATACATATAATTCTAAAAAATATTTTTAACACACAATACTGGAAAAAGATTTTATGGATTTACATGTTCTTGGTGATGTAATATTTTTTGTAGAATTCATCGAAATCTCGATTTTTAAGTATTGGTGTAACATCGATATAATTAGGATAGTTAGGAACATTGTAAACCCATAGAACACATTATTCTAAGAAGAATGTAATGTTTGCCAAAACGACACATACAGTGGATCTGAAAGACCACTTACGCGATTCGGTTAATAGTTAGATTGACTGTCGACAACGTCACAAGATGGCTACAGGGACAAAAGACATGTGGCCAATGTAAATATAATTAACGTTTGCTTGAAATTTAAACACATAGGAACTTCTTCAGCTTGATGCAAATATATTGTTAACGCACAACGTATATTTATACTTTGTAGGGTGAAATAGAATATGCAGATCAAACATAGTCAAAAAAACAAGCGCAACAACATTGGCATCTGTTTGTATCACGATCATTGTTATTTATCTAACAAAATGTCGCTATGTTATGAGTATACAAGCACTTTAAACTTCCTTTTTGAGTCACCCTTTTATAAGAGCAAAAATAACGTATAAATAGACAGAAAATTAATGTATACCTTATTAAGTTCTCATTTGGCGTCCTATACCTGTTTTGTACAGATGCTTTTGTACCATCGGCTATAAAAGAAAATATATATATATATATAATCGTGACTAATATTAATATAAATGATAGATATACTTTAAAGATATCCGTTAAAATGCTCAAATGAAAAAACTTTTATGAATTCAATAACAGAGGGAGAATGTAAGACAACGTAAAAAATGTTTTTGAGCTTAATTCATAGAATAGAGGGTGCAATTAAAGGAAATACTACGGTATACTGTACCTCGGCCATGTCTGTGAGCACGACCAGCTTCTTGAAAAGCAAAATGAGCCCGAAAGAATGCTCGTAGTATCGCCCATCTAAACACTGCCACTGGATCTGCACCCACTAATTCTCGGACAAAAGCGAGGGAAGAATTTTTCAACACACCAACCACACCATCAGGTCGCATTAAATCCAAGTTCTTTTCTCTCATGTTAGCAGCTTGATACTTAACAGCTCCTGCATAATGTCGCACGACGAAGGCTGCTTCTCGTCGCTGCGGTGCTTCGTAAAATGGATTGTCTTTATGTACTGAGTTAAATTTTTGTAGTAACGTTTCATTCGTTGCGCCCGGAAAACTGTTATAGATATTGTGCATATATAATCAAGCAAAGATTTTAAACAATTTTAGCTTAAAGTAAAGTTACATTCCAACACTCACTTGCACTGATCATCTAAGAGACAAAGAAGACCATTCGGTTTCCCTTCTATTAAACTTAAACAGCCTGAATTGTCACTATATCCTATGTCTGTCCACCTAATTCCTTGTTTTCTATACTCTCGTTGTTCATATTGAAAAACATGTTGGTTGAAATAGTGTTGCAATTGTTCGTTCGCATAATTTATACACAACTGTTCAAAGCTATTACACGTTTTAAAATCTTCGAAACCAAAGATGTCTAGCACACCTATGCTATTGCCTTGGTGATCTCTGAGTGTGTCTTTTTTTGAAAGCAACGCGTGATTGACCTAATATAAAACATTTTCTGTGTATATCACTGTACGAATTTTCCACTTAAGATTTAGTGGCCATTAATTTTATACACTTAAAAATCTAAGGAAATAAATTCTTACCTGTAAAACGATCCAATCGAATAGAGCTCCATATAGACACTTTGCCATGGCATCTCTTGCTGCAACTGCTTCCGGAAGTCTATAATTAATAACTAAAGTTTCTCCAGAAGCCCTTGCGCGTTTCGCTGTAAGCGCAGCCAGAAGAGTCTCTTGTTTCACTCTAAGCAGTTCGGATATTAATGCTACTACTTCAGGATTCTTGACTCCTACAGCTTCGTCGTGATGATGATAAGATTTTCTAGGTTGAAATTCCACATTGCCTGTAATGATGTAACACGATTAGTTTTGTTGGAGAAAATGTTGAAATAATTTACTAATCACCGAGTAGAAGAACAGCTGACAGAACGGCGAACAATCGTCTCTGTTTTTCTGGCGTGAATCCAACCATTTCCATAGATTGTTTCAGTCTTGAGAATTCGTGTCTTTCATCAATATTTTCCAATCCATAACAGCCACTTTTATTCAAATAATTATAACGATCAGAATTTTCTAAATGCAGAAGTTGCTTCTCTTGTTCGCTCGCTCCAGCCAAAAGATAATAAAACACATGGTAATTCCTTTCGTTTCGTCCCTGGGAGACTATCCTTGACTTTTCCAGCAGATATTTTTGCACCACCGCCCTAAATATTTCTCATAAGTTTCTTCTTATTTTATCAAGTAGATAATGTACTTATAAATTCCTTACCCATGCACCATTCCATTTTCCTTGTAATTCACTTGGATAAATTTTCCAAAACGACTACTATTGTTGTTATGCGCTGTTTTCGCATTACCAAATGCTTCCAACACAGGGCCCGCACTAAGTATTGTCTGTTCAACACCGCTACCGTGTGAACCTTTTTGACTGAGTGCCGTTAAATGATGCAGTAGAAAATTTGTTGATTCCGTTTTACCTGATCCACTCTCGCCACTAATAACTATACACTGGTTTCGTTTCTCTTTAAGCATACAGTGATAAGCAGCATCAGCTATGGCAAATATATGTGGAGGTATGTCTGGCCCCAATCTTCTATTCTGATAGAGTTTTACATATTTTGGATTGTAGATAGGATAAAATTTAAATGGATTTAATGCAATCAAAATGCTTCCAACGTAGGTATATATATTTCCAGCCAGAAACCTAGCCCGAAGGTTGTCCAACAATGTTTGTTCATTAAGGTCTGGAAGTTGACACAGATCTGGATATTCTTTGTCTCGGGGTTGATATAGGAATCTATTGAAATAGTCCTTTAAGAGTTGTGGGTCCATTGGAAACCTACTATCCGACCATAAATCTGGTTGCTTTTTTCGCAAGTAAAACCTGAATCGAAAAACACCATTGCGATGTATTAAATCATTAATGTGGTTTCTATATTATCAATTTATTAACGACCTTCCACTTACCTATAGTATACCTGTTGCGCTGCATTTTTGGGCCATAATAACATGAGTGCTACAGGGCACTCGCTTGGCCCGAGTCTTCTTTCCTTACATTCTTGCCCAACAGAATTTCCTACCACTTCTGCTAATTCATATCCATTGGAAATATTAGCATCGACTAAACCAAGTCTATCAATAATACACGCCACTATCTCCGCCGATGAAGTTTGTTTTGTAGCTTTAATCGAGAGTGCTTCATAGTCTGGGCTCCATTCACCCACAAATACTTGCACCACTCCTGAGCAACAGCTGTCCATCTTTTTAACCCTATAATATTTAAAATAATTAATAAAACTAAGATATCTAGAAGTTTTGCTATATAGATTTTATATAGATTTATTTTGATAAATTATGTCACCTTGTTTTTAATAGGGTTAACAAAATTGTCCTCTGTCATCCATACAGAATTTCAAATGTATTGTTTCTTCCTTTTTTTGTTTCTCAATTATATACACCCACTGATGCAGACGTTTAAAATAACTTTTACACATTTTGTTTAAAAATGTTCACTGATACAGTCTTACAGATTATTGGACTTATTTACAGGTATTGTTTACATTAACTTATTTTATTCTTAATTTTGTCAAATGCACTCAAAATTATTTAATACTCATAAACTAAAAGACCATATTTATATACATATATATCACGTCAAGTCTTACACATGAATTGGTTCAGCAAAATAA